TTAGTACAATGAGGGGAGACAGTTTTGTTGAAGAAATGTATGTGTGTGTGTGTGTGTGTGTGTGTGTGTGTGTGTGTGTGTGTGTTTAGAGGGATAAGAAACGATGAGCTGCAAGAGAACCGTCAAGTTTCCGTTTCCTTCGGCTCTCGTCTGGGGCTTTCCTGGATGACAGTCTCCTCTGGGTGCACACTGTTGTACAGCTGGAGCTCTTGCAGCAGCTGCATCCCTGTGGCTGTCTTAGATGTCTGTTGCTGCGATAAAACACCATGACCAAAACAACTTGGGGAGGAAAGAGTTTATTTCTCTTATACTTCCATACCAAAGAAAGCGAGGGCAGGAACTGAGTCAGAGGCCATGGCGGAATGCTGTTACAGGGTTTCTCCTCATGGCTTGTGCCTCCTGCTTTCTCATAGCACCCAGAACCATTAGCCCTGGGATGTCACCCTGCCCAGTGAGCTGGGCTCCTGCACATCAATTATCAATCAAGAAAGTGCGCCACAGACTTGTCCACAGGCCAATCTAGCGGGGGCATTTCCTAACTGAAGTTCCCTCTTCCAAAATGACTCTAGCTTGTGTCAAGTTAACCTAATACGAGCCAGCACAGTGGGTCATCAGCACTTTTTGGAACCTGCCTAGAGGCTTGGGCCTATGGATGTCAGAAAATGAAAGTCCATGTTCCACCGGAACATGCAGATCATCTGCGGCTGCCTTTGGCTCATCATAGCTCATCACGGATTTCCTTCAAGAACAGATTCAAGGGATGTGAAGGGTGGGCTCCTAAGGATAATCTCCAGTCATTTAATTATCCTGTCTTATGTCTTAGAAAGTGAAACTCTCCATTGGCCGGATCCCCAATTCAGAGAAGTTCCATGCTTCCGCCTGCACGTGCCCCTTAAAATACCACTTGGTGGAGCCTGTCCAGGAGGATTTGCCAGGACTGGAGAGGATACCAAAGAGGAGTCCGGCCATCAAAAAGAGCCAGAAGGAAGTAACTGGAGAGTCGGCTGCCTCAGATCCATGACAGCAGAAGAAGGATGGAACCCTGGATCACGCGTGGTCCTGTGGTTGGAGACAAGGCTGCATCCTACTTTGAGTCACTGCACTGCCTTAACAATGGGGTCACTGGCCCCTCTTTGACTGTTGCATTGAGGTCACATGGGATAATGACTAAGGAACAGAGATAAAATGGAAGGCCTTATTATCTGAGACTTTGCCTCAGACACGGCAGACATCGATTGAGTAAATCTCTGGTCTAATTAATAGCACTGTGTGCTTTCTGAGGTCACAATTGCATCTTTGTTAGGAATATCCAGTCAGAATTACTCATTACAGGGAGGCAAGAGAGATGAAAGTCTGTGGTTATCCTCCAGACACTTCCTGTGACTCAGCAGCCCAAGGGCCATCAGATCAGGCAGAGTGACCTCTGTCTCAGGATACCTGCTTTCTTAAAGATACAGTAACTATTTTGGAAGCTGAGGGAGTTTGGTGCTGCTCACTTCAAAAATAATCAGGAAACTATGTGTATATGTTCTTAATTGGTTGGCTTATTACCAAATTAGTTCTGTGATGTCAAAAGGATCAAAGGCCTTTTAATAATCAGGAAAGCAGGAGCAGTCAACTGAAGACTAATCAACTTGGAGATGTTGGTGCAAAATGGGGTGGGGGTGTTAGAAAATCCATCTCAACAGGCTGTCCTTTCACGTGGAAAAAAATGAAGGCTTTGAAAGTTCAGTGATACTCAGTCTTCATGACTCCAAGTTCTGTAGCTGTTGGGGGCAGGACCAAGAGTCTAGACCAGCTTTAGGAAGAATATTCCCTGACCTCTGCCTTGTGTGTGGGTTTAGATTAGGAAAGACCTTTGGCATGTGGAGGAGACATTCAGTACATTTCATTTTCTGTTATCTAGATTGTTGCCTGTATAAAATGTACATATGTATATGAAACATGGAAAATAATTAAATGTATATGCATGAATATTTCAAATCTCATAAATAAGAAATGAAGCCACTTCAGTGAGGAAATAAATACCCATCAAGGTAAAACTGCCTGAAACCACCTTCGGGATGGATCCCTGGGCTCTGAAATCCAGGTATCCTCCCATCTCTATGTGCTCTCAAGGAGGCAAAGAGAAGTCTGAGGACCCAGGAGTCCATCATCCACTCAGCTCACAGCAGTGCTGGGACAAGCATACAGGACTACTGGTCCCCCCCACACACACTGTCAACCTGCCAGCCTCCCCCAACCCCAGAACTTGCCTCCTGACACAGGATGGGGGTGGCTTGCTGTGAGGACCACACTCTGGGAGCTTCTCTGCACCCTCATGGCGCTCCCGGGGATTATTTGACTGAGGAACACAGTTCCATGTTGTATCATCCTGGAAAGTCCGTGGAGAGGCTCGTGAGTCTGCGGGAGAGTGCAGAACGTGAACTCTCTGAGGAAAGGACCTAGCTTTTGGCAGTGTGGAGAGTGACAAACTGTGGTCACCCCACCCACCTCCAACAGGAGCCTGAAGAAGGCAGCTCCTCCCCATGCTTCCTGCTCTGTGGAGAGCAGTGGAACCAGGGCCTGGAGGAAGCAACCTTCCTGGCTGGGCTGAGGTATGCGCTGCTGGTGGCTGGGGCAGACAGCAGGACCCACCCTTCATCGTTCTCTGTGCTGTTCCTCAGAGGCCAGGGCCTCTGTGCCCCCTTCCCCAGAGCTAGAGGCAGCCACAGCCACAGTGTCACTTCCTTCTCCTAAGAACAGCAGTGACCCCAAGGAAAACTCCAGGCCTGGGAATGGAGATATTTGTCCTTTCTGTCATCCAGGTGAGAACACAGCCAAGAATTGTGGAGAGGTGGCTGGAAAAGCCACCAGGCCAGGCCTGACAAGGGCTGTACCTTGTAAGTGAATTGTACCTTTCTCACACTCCCTGCTACCCACGGACACATGCACAGATAGTCTCAGTGGAAAACTCACCTGTGATCTTTTTCAATGATGTCCATTTCGACCCCATTTCAAGCAGATGACAATGACTGATGCTGCGAAGAGCCTGGTCCAGCTGTCCCTGGGAAAGACAGCCCTCCCTGGATTAATTTAGACAAGAGAGGAGAAAATAGAAACGGCTTGGAGCCACTCTTGGCCCTCTCAACCCTGGCCTTGTCCTGTCAGTGTGGCATAGCTTGCCTTCACCTGAGAAGAGAGTCCCAATGGAGGGATAAGTTGGTCTAATGTGGGCGTGTCTTCAGGGGCTGTCGTAACTGTTCATTGGTGTGGGAGGGCCCAGCCCACTGTGGGCAGCACCATCCCCTAGGCATGTGGTCCTGGGCTGTGTAGGAAAGCAGAGCTTGTGAGTGAGCCACAAGCAGTGGTTCCTCCGTGGTTTCTGTGCCATGGAACAATCTTTATATACACTATGAATATGTGTTATTCTTATTGTTAATAGGAAAGCTGATTGGCTGGTAGCCAGGTAGGAAGTATGGGTGGGATAACCAAACTAAGGAAGGAAGGAGAAGGGTAGATTCTGGGAGATGCTAGCCAGTTGCCTAGCAAACAGGATGTATAGAAAATGAGGTAACAAGCTGTGAGCCATGTGGCTAAACATAGATAAGAATTATGAGTTCATTTAAGTGCAAGAGCTAGTTAGTAACAAGCCTGAGCTAATGGCCAAGCTTTTGTAAGTAATATTAAGCCTCTGAGTGGTTATTCAAGAGCTGGCTGGTGGGAGAGAACCGTCCATTTACATTTCTGCCTTATGTTTCTGCCCAGGCTTTCCCCAGTGATGAACTGTAACCTGGATGCTAAAATAAATCCTTTCCTCACTAAATTGCTTTGGTTAGTGTTTGATCATAGCAATGGGAAGGAACTAGAACAAGCCTGAGTATGATGTGGCTCTTCAGTCTGGTTGATGAAGAAGTCAGAGCTCAGAAACATGGAATGACTTACTGAGGGTACACTCAGCTCTATGCTGGACCCATAACTCCCCAACCCATGCCATTTCCAAGTCACAGCTTCTCCGTGGGACATTGGAGTGCTGCCTCTCCACTTCCTACTGGGTGCCTCAGGTCTCCAGAACAGACCTCAGGGGTATCTGGAGGTTTCCATTTGGTTCTCTCTGCTGAGGATGCAAACTATTCAGAGCGAATTCCAAAGAACAGCTGGTTAAGAAAGAGGATGAATGTGCAAGGCCAAGTCCATGCAATCATACTCAATGCTGTTGACATTTATGCATTCCAGGAAGGCATTCTTTTCTGTGTGGAGGGCAGATTACCACACATTCACATGTTTGTGTGTAGTATGTGTGCCTGTGTATGCCAGGGAGCAAAGACAGGCGGGGAGTTAGAGGTGGCTCTGTCAGCATCCTGCCCCTCCTCCCTTCAGGGCATGTGCCAAGTGGCCTTCCCTTGGGAGGATGAGAGGAATGTAGAGTCATAAACAGGCCTCGAGGCTTTCAGACTCAGCTGGATCAAATCAGGGTTCTTTGGTGGAGTTGGATTTGTAGCTAAGCAACACATGTGCTTTATTGAGAAAGTTCTTTAAAATGTCTGAGTCAATGAAATCTTTGTCAAATGAGCAACAATCCCACAGGACCTTGGGGCCCTTCTCCAAGTCACTCTGACTAGATGGCTCTTAGAAACTTTGCACTCAGTGCTGGACCCTGGGACTGAACTGCCTCATATGGTAGCTACCAGCCATGTGTGCTATTTGGCTTTATATTAGGTAAAATTAAATAAATTTAAAATTCCTTTTCAAAAGCACTAGTCACATTTGGGGTATTTGATAACCTTAGATGGTAATTGGCTATAACATTGGGTAGCACTGAAACAGACATTTTCCATGATCATAGAAGGTTCTAGCAGACAAACTTTCCCTATCTTATGTCCCAAGAGGAGAACAATTATATCTTATTCATCACCGTATTACCAGCCCATAAATACAGTGAGCAGCTTATAGCAACTGCTTGATAAGCACATGCTAACAGAAGAAATCACTACAATTTGTGTTAAGTACTAATTAAACATGATTTAATTTTGATATTTCCAAATAAAATATTCACATCCATAGCTCTAGTAACACTGGCTTTTCTTTTTCCTTGCTTCTTTCTTGCCCTGGTATCCTATAATTAACTTGAAAACCAGCTATAGGCTTTTCCGTATAAGCTGTTTTCTCAACAATTAGTAAGTTTCTGCGGAGTTGGCGGCACACTTGGGAGCTATTATAACAACAGGAAACCACAGTGTCTACAACTCTCCAACAAATTGCTGACCACAGTGAAATGAGTGTACCATGATCTTGGGGCCAATGTCAGTTTCATTTGAGAAGCACCAAGGTGTAAGTTTAGGTTTAGATTTTGTTAATCATAGTCGTTCCAAATTTTTTAAGGTTTTCTGACATTCTTTGCTCCTCTTTGTTTAAGTACGGACTTACAAAACACATTGAGGCTTGTTACAGCTGCACACATGCTAAGAACCAACAGTGTGCGTGTGTGATGTGAGGGGCTTAGCTGTGCACTGGCCATCAGCGTTTAACACAGGGTGCTGTGGGATGCTGACTGGGGGCTCGGTTGCCTTGATGGTGATGGTGATGGTGATGGTGATGGTGATGGTGATGGTGATGGTGATGGTGATGGTGATGGTATTGCCATGTGTTTGCCTCTTGGCCTCTTGTTTCTTAAATGATAGATGAGAACACCAGAAATATGTCTAGGGATAAAGCTACCTTTAGGAGTAATTAGAAACTAGAAATTGCCACACTGTGTGGTGGCAGAGGAGTTCAGAAAGGAAGAAGGCCACCATAAACAGAGTGCTAATCATGACTCACGCTGTTGGGTGCCTCTGCACACAGGGCACTATCCACACACTCTACCCAAACCTACAACAGGTCTGTGAAGTCAAGACTGACTGCCCCAGAAGCATAGAGAAGTGAAGTAGCTTACTCAAGGTCATGGCGGTGAGAGCATGGCAGAGCTGGACTCAAACCAGACAAATGGGATTTGGAGACCACAGCCTGACTCTCCTCACCGGAAGACCCATGGAAGAGGAGGTGAAAGGTGGCTGAAATGGATGGTGCACAGAGGAGGGGCCATGGACAGGAAGAGACGCGCAGTGCACTTTCCAAGGCTTACCTACAGTGGCTCAACTTTTTTATGCCTCTTGTCTCAGTAACAAATTCTTCTTCTGACATTTTATCCAGGAAAAAATCCAGTAAAACATACGTTTTTACTTCAAACCCAAGAACTTTACCAGCGTTCCCTTTGTGACATGTTTACGTGTTTTACATGGGCCTGGTTCTGTGTGACAATCAGTTAATTGGCAGCTAACACATCTCCAGGGACAGAAATGTTAGGTTTCCTGGGGGTGGTGGGGGAGAGTAATATGGACTCTAACTCTGTGAACCTCATCCATGCGTATGCTAAGACAAACTCATCCATACCTAATTAGGAGCCGAGTCTGACTCCTCAATCCAAATTCAGGGTTAGAAATGCAAAAGATGTAAAGACTGCTCCTCTGTGGTTGGTACCTCACAGGCAGGGTAAATCTGAAGAGCGCCTGAGAGAGGGGGATTTCATCTCTTAAGGAATGAGTAGAACTGACTTGATATTCTAGCATAGGCCAAATCGTGTGCACAGCCACACAGATGCTAACTGCCAGGGCAGAGAATGTTTCAGGCATCCTGAGGGGACCCGGAAAAGGCACCCCTGTGTAAGAGACAGTTGACTACTTGCTTCATAAGAATCTTTTACTCCTTTATAGGCAATAGTTCTTACTCATTGCATCTTAAAGTAAAATTAACCAGGGCTGGGGAGATGGCTCAGTGGTTTGGAGCACTGGCTACTCTTCTAGAGGACCTGGGTTCAATTCCCAGCACCCACATGACAGTTCACAACTGTCTATAACTTCAGTTCCAAGGAGTACAGTGCCCTCACATAGACATACATGCAGGCAAGGCACCAATGTACACAAAAGTAAATCTGGCAGGGGGAGATTAAAATAAAAT